GTGCTCCCAGCATCACCACCTCTGCAGGCAGAGACCAGACACCAGGACCACCCTCCCTTCAGCCTCTCCATCAGCACGGACATCTCTTCCTACTCAGCACCAGCTGCAGTACTGGGCTTCCCACATCATACTGGTTGTTTAGGATGAAGGTCCTGCGTCTGACTGAACTGCTTTTCACATTTCCTCCTTCCTGATTCTGCTGGTGCTGAAATGGAATCAGCAAAGCAAGACGAAATCTACTATTTATTGAAAAATCCAAGCTGCATTCTGGCCACCCCTCATCTTCTCTTTTTGAAACACAAAAGCGTCCATTCAAAGACATCCACCTCGAATACCCATAGTGCCCGCTGAGGACAAAGCTTCTAGTAAAACAACTAGACTTGAAACCAGGCCGTACTACTCGTGAGGTCCCCTTTAGAAAGTCCAGGGTAATCTGGACAAACTGGCCACATGAGTAACCCTGCTTTTCCTTAACTGCACCCTAATCTAATTCCGGCTTTAAATCCACCAGTAAAGAGTGAACCTGCCAAGCTCCACGCAGACCGCCCTCAACCCCAATAAAGGCAGAGCCCCAGGTCCAAGCTTGCTTGTGCCCTCTCCGTCTTTCTCTACCCATGACCTTGTGTTGCCCTGGGGTTGATTCTCAACCTTCCTAATGCTGCGACCCTTTAACACAGTTTCTCATGTTGTGGTGAGCCCCAACCATAAAATTATTTTCATTGCTACTTTATAACTGTAATTTTGCTACTGTTATGTCTTAGGCGACCACTGTGAAAGGGTCGTTCCACCCCCAAAGGGGTCGCGACCCACAGGTTGAGAAGTGCTGCTCTAGAACCTGTGAATAATATTTCAAAGTTCCCCAGTGGTTGTTGCTGAGGTGAGTGTGACAATCATAATAAGAACCACAACATCGGCTCCCATCGGGGAAAGGTTCGGGGGGGGGGGCTGCCACAGCAGTAGAGACCCAGGTGAGTGCTTCAGGAATTCCCAGCTGATAGCATCACTATCCATGGCTGAGACCAACACAAACCAGGTGTCCACATGCAGGCACGAGAGACACCTCACAGTGCAGCAGAAAACCTAGAACCATCCTCCCCATCACTCACTCCCACCCGGGGAAAGTAAGTCTCAGTACTTCCAGCGTTCCGAATGCCAGGCTGGTGATCTCCATCATTATGAAACTATACATGCTATGTTAATATAGTTTATTAACCAGTCATCTGTACTGGTTTATGAGTTTTACATATGGAGGTAAATGATATGTGGACATACACTTATACTACTGCCCCAACCCCACGAGTTAGCGATAGTCCTGAGTATAAAAAAATAGCGAAAATTAAAAACGTCAAAAGAAGATGGTTCTATAAGTCTTTAACATCATCCCTGTTCTCTATGTTGGATTTTATGCCAACCACATACACACGTATCTCCAACATGAACTGTGAATAACAGTATAAATGTAGCCGCTTCAAAATGGAGTTGGAGCTGCCACCCCAGAGGGACCGGCTTGCGAGTCCTACTCCTCAAATCTCTGGAATGTGAAACTGGGCAAAATCACCTCTGGACTAGGCCTAAAGCAGGATTCCAAATAACTATTTGCAAAGATAACAAGACAGCAGATATGAAAAGGAAAGACATTCTTTAGAATGAGCATCCCTGTGTTCATGCACCTGCTCCTGTAGAAATTCCTTCCTTCCATTCATGTAGTTGCTCCCCTTCCCTTTCCCATAAGTACCCCTTGCCTTCACCTCCAAAGAAACACAATTTGGATTTCTGCCTGCATCAGTGCTTCCTGAATAGTTATTCTTTTGGATCTAAAATAAACACTTGTTGCCTTTCAATTTGGCCTTTTATTTTTAGGCGAACATATCACATACAGACATAATCCAATATGGCTACAACTCTAATGTATCCAGTCAAGATACACAGTACACTTCCAATAAACATGATGGAGGCAATACAAGCAAACAAACCCCCGCGGCACCATGGTACAGTGATGTAAAACATGCTGCTGCTCTCTGACCACGGTCTGCAGGGTCTTTCACTGCACACCAAAATGACAGCACCAAAGAAGGAGGTAGAATCTGCAGAGACCTTGCTCTGGCACTACTGGGATCCTCAGAGTTCACAAGCAGTGAACCCTAATACTACCAAACTTCTCCCAAGCCTATCACTTTGCACAATCCTCAATGTAATCCACGCGCACCGTCTTCCTGATGCCCTGAACCAAGGATTTGTCTTCTCAATGCTGCTGCCCTTCTGCCCTTTTTTTCCAAGGCCTTTTCACTCAGTTATGTAGAGACTTATTCAACTATTTTTATCTTTCTTTTATTGATTTTTTAGAGAGAGGATGGGAGAGGGAGAGAGAGATAGAAACATGGATAAGAGAGAACATTGGCTGCCACCTGCATGCCCCCACTGGGGATCGGGCCCACAACCTGGGCATGTGTCCTGACCAGGAATCAAACTGGCAACCTCTTGGTGCATGGGTCAACACTCAACCACTGAGCCACACCGGCTGGGCTTAGTCAACTATTTTTAAAAGTCCCTACATCCTCAACCTCCTCAGAGAATAAACCTCACCTGTGTGGTCAGGATTAGAATCTGTCTCCATCTACAGGACAACACATGCACTGCAGCCCTTTCAGCATCTGAAAGAGCGAGCTTGAATTTTCCTAAATAAACCCTTTTGTTACTTCTAGGACACATTACTTCCACTTGCATTACTTCTCCTTGGCAAAGAGATTCTAAAATCTAGCATTTCTACCTTCATTTCCAGTCTCTCCTCACCTCACCCCCACTCCAAAAATGTTGTCTATAGAGCACCAACTTTTTGAAAATGCTTCATAATGAAATAACTACAAAAATGGGAAATAAACATTTAGACCATGACTACAATTTGACATCAGTGAATTTCTCTGGGAATAATATGGGTCCTGCCTTTGTCTACCAAAAATGTTGCCCAAACTTTAATGTGCATGTAAATAACGTCAGGAGTCTTGTTCGAAATGCAGGTTTGGTAGTATGGGATGGGGCCTGAGATTCTGCATTTCCAATGAGCTCCAAAAGATAATGATGCTGCTGGACCACAAGGCCACTCTAAATAGTGAGGCTTCGAACAACTTCATCAGGAGATTTTCTCCCACCAGTCATGATATGCCCGTATTTTGCAAATGTTTCTCAAATCTTACAAACCAAACTCTGCACTTACTATCATCTCTGTTTGGAGTCACTGATACTCAAAGTCTGTGCAACTTTGAAAAGTGAATTAACCTCACTGTGCTGTAATTTCCTCATCTTCAAATGGGGAAGAATAATCCCAGTATCTCATAGGACAGTTGTCAGGCTCAAGTGGGTTAATTAATGTAAACTTCTCATAATGCTCAGATATGTCAGCCGTTTTAATTTTTATTCCTGCCTTATCCACTTGGCAAGCTCCTGTTCTTCCTTAAAGTTCTGTTCAAGTATCACTTCTCTGACGCTATTTTGACAGCCTTCACCCAGACAGGGTGAGCCACTCACTCTCTGACTACACTTTATAATCTAACTCTGCTGTTGAAAACGTCCCAATTAGATCTAATCATTTACCTGTTTCTCTCTCATAACAAACTCTGCACACCTTGAGAGCAAGAAAATCCTTCATCCATTTCTGTGTCCTTAACACATCGCGCGTTGACTGGCAAAATTTTTAAAAACTGACTGAATTTAAGCCCGGCCAGTGTAGCTCAGTGGTTGAGCATCGACCCATGCACCAAGAGGTCACTGGTTTGATTCCTGGTCAGGGTACATGCCCAGGTTGTGGGCCCGATCCCCAGTGTGGGGCATGCAGGAGGTGGCCAATCGATGTTCTCTCTCATCAATGTTTCTATCTCTCCCTCTCCCTTCCTCTCTCTAAAATCAATAAAGAAAAAAAATTTTTTTTTAAATGGACTGAATTTTGATGTGAATTATTATGAGTCAATCTTACAGATCTTTCTAGGCTACAGTAGGAACAAGAATTATAAATATGTTATGAAAACCATAAAATGTCACTGTGTTTTGTTGAAAAAAATTCTCTCCTCAAGAAATCAAATCCATCATGAAGAATCATTTTAAACCAAGCATCTAAGACTTAGGATTTAGAGTTCTGCAGCCATCACAAATCACTTATTTTGTGGTGAGAAAAAGGAGGGGAAAGGAAATGTTTGAGTTATTTTTAACAAGAAGTCTCTGGGGGTGCAAATTTGTCATTTTAAATGAGCAACAATTAAATGCCTAAATCTTGATATTAAGTTTTGTAGATCTTTTCTCTACTAAAAAGGTAGATACTTCGCATAGATAAAAGGAAATACAATACAGCAAATAATCTGACTTAGTCTTTTATAAGGTCCTTATTTTTTAAATAAATGTAGACAAATCGTAGTTTCTAAATGAAGTACAGCCTCTGATTAGTATTTAGGGTTAAGCATAAAGCACTGACCCCTCTCTGCCCTCCTGAAACACACTGCAAGCTCTAGAAACTGTCGTTTTCTGAGGGAAAGTTGAGAGAGATTAAGAAATAAGATATACTGGACAGAAGCCAGGTAAGAAGACTACTTTCCCAAGAACTGTTTGCACATATTTTTTGTTTGTTTGTTTTAATATGTCTTTATTGATTTTTTTTTAGAGAGAGAGAGAGAGAGAGAGAGAGATAGAAACATCAATGTGAGAGAGAAACATCAACTGGCTGCCTCTTGCATGCCCCCTACTGGGAATTGAACCCACAACCCAGGCATGTGCCCCGATGGGGAATCAAACCAGGACCTCTTAGTCCATGGGATGATGCTCAATCCACTGAGCCATACCGGCCAGGCAACTTGCACATGTTTTTGAATGACAGTTTCAGTATGTCATCTTGCCTTGTCCTCTGCCCAGCAGTGGAAAATGGTACAGGTAGATTCATTCAGAAAGGGAGGACAATTTATGGTTTTATTTTCTTTACACCTAAAGCTTTTCCTGCCTGGAAGCCTTCCTCTCCTTACCTCTGTTTTTCAGCGGAGGCAATGTAGGGTGCAGATCTTTATTACATTCATTCCGTTCTGTGCAGCATTCAATTGATCTTCTTTGATGAGGAATGGGCGTGTCCTAAAATTGAACCCACAAAGCTATCAGTGGGTGTCCACTAAATTTCATAGGCACATGATCTAAAACTTAAAAAATTAACACCGTTTAGCTAATTCACTTAAAATTCTTCACAAATATGTCGAAAATACTGTTTTCTACTAGGTAATTTCTTTCAAATTATCATGTATTATTTAACTGCAATGTCTGCATTTCAAAAAAAATTCTACATGTGTAATAAGCAGTGTGCAGTGTGAACTGAAGATGAAGGCTAGGTTTGATGCACTGAACTAAACTGGAATTTGAGCAAGAGATCTAATGGTACACGGAGCCAGACATTAACAACAAAAATAAAAATAATATTTACTTTCAAAATAAAGGGAGAATTGGCCCAATGAGAATGCTCAAATTATTTTCCAAATTATTAAAAACAGCCTAGACAAAATACAAACAAACAAACAAAAAACCTGACAATTGCTTTATCTTACTTGAAACTTGACTGTTTGAAATCTAGCCAAGGAAAGGTTACAAAGTGGAATCAAGTTCCTTCCTTACCCGGCATTGAAAATCCGAGCCTTCGAGTCCCAGACATCCAGAGGTGACCACAGGCATCCCAGAATCATCTTCTTCTATCATTGTGAAACAATATCCATCTGTGCTAAAGACCAAACAGGCAAAGCAAGAGTGAGTGTGTGTGTGTGTCTAGAGGAAAAGGAAGATGTTCATCATTGGAAGACGCTTATCCTTTGTTTCATTCCAACAAGGAGAAGTTGGATGCTCATGACAGATTACAAGCTGTTGAGAAAATCCCAAAACTTCCTGTTATGGAAGTTGACTTAATTATCATGAAACATTTGGTAATCTCCTCTGTCAGGAAACCTGCGAGAAAGAAGTATCCAGAATTTCCATATAATATATACAATGAATAACCATATACATTTATTTTGGTCCTTTGCAGAGATCTCTTTTACAAATCCAGAAAATCAGCTCTGAGAATGGTGGTACTATTCTCACCTTATGAGGAAACAGGGGCTCAAGGAACCCGAATAATTTCTCAAAGGCCACACAGCTAGTGAGAGGGTGCACAGCAGGGACGGACGCATGCAGGTGACCGTCTGTGGGCTCCACCTGCTCTACTGTGAAACCTCTCGCTAAGGCACACGGACCAACCTCAGAAGGGTAGGAGCTGGGATCGGGACAGCAGAAGTGAGGCGACGAAGATTCTGCCTCTTGGTACTTCTGCTTCTGGGCTGTCCTGTCCTATGAAAACATCAAGTTTTGTTTTCAGCCCTTAAATTGGGGGAGGAGTAAAGCTGGACAACAGAAAGAAGGTTTTTTTTTTTTAACAAGACCCTAGAACAGTGATTTTCAACCCTTTTTCATCTCGTGGCACATATAAACTAATTACTGAAATTCTGCGACACACCAAAACATGTCGTTTTTACCAATCTGACAAAAAAAAAAAAAAAAGCTATAATTTTGGTTCATTCACACCAAACGACTATTCTTGTATTGGTTGTTGTCATATTTTTATTTGACAATCTAAGGGAAAAGAGGTCAGTCCCCTGACTAAATAGTCAGTATTTCTTGTTTTAAAAATTCTTGCAGCACACCAGCTGAAAATCGCTGGCCTAGAAGTAAAGAAACAATATTTTTAATTTCTGTATGGGGTGTTAAATTAAAAAGAACTTTCACTTATTCTATTGCATTTAATCCTCTCAACAACAGTGAGAAGTGAGATTATTTCTACTTTACTGATGAGGAAATTAAAGCTATAAGAATCAAACAAGCAAACAGTTACAAAATCAGGCTTTGAATCAAGAACTTCTTGCTTCTTTCCCACACATTTTTCCACTATCCCCTCCTGGGACTAAAATGGAAAACAAGAACTATTATATATAGAATGATTTATAAACAAACATTTCTGTCTTCACAAGTTTGGGTGAGGAATGAATGCCAGCAGCCTCCCAGTGTAAGTCATGACCCCAGTGCGTGCCCTAAGAAATAAAGGACTAAAGCATGTGCCCACCGTTCCTTCGCGCATGCGCACGCAGGTGTGCAGGACAGACACGACGGTGCAGTCCTGGGGGGTCAGGGAGAAAGCTCGGAGCATGGCACCAGCCACGGCTTCTGGGTTGGTCTGTTCTGTGTTAGTGGCAGCATTCTGCCATCCCTTAGCCCTTCAGTTATCATCAACATCCTTAGAATTGTTTACTTGGCTTATAAGCCTCAAGTGATCCAAAATACCTCAGTTTATAAGAACTAGCACAGCCGAGTCCAAACATACTAATGAATGGCTGGGAAGGCCAATGATAAATCTCTTTTTTAGACCAAGGTCAAATGCATGAATATGGTTGTGGAAGAAAGTCTGCCTCTGAACAGCCCCTGCTCTCAATCCTTTGGGGCTTCTTAGCCCATACACTGACATTGCTGTGCAGGCTCAAGGGCGTCAACACCGAAGGCCATCAATAAAAGAGCTGTCCCTTAGAAACCAACTGTAAACAACAGGCAAGCAATAGCCATGTGGTTTCTTTACTCCTTTCCTACATATTTAGACTATGTGTGTAACTTATATTTCTCTTCAAAAGTAAATTTAGGAATGATCAGAAATAAAGTCATATTAATTTTCTGACATTAGGAATTCATAAGGGCTGGCAAAGCTGATTCAGTGTGTTAAGTCCAAAAAGGCTAATTTCTCTTTAATCAGGAGTTCCTCTTGCTCAAAATCTGAGTAAATGGAAATGTACTTTTAAGTCACTTATAAGAATCAAGAATAAAAATAGGAAAAGCTGGGAAAGCTGTTGTTAAGTTACCATCACAAAGTCCTAGAAAATATAGAGAAACATCAGGGAGATTAATTTTAAGCTTTAAAAATGCACTCCCTTGTCTGCAAAGAAGGGTGGAGATAAAATTATAAGAGAGATGGAGAGGGAGGGAGACCCTGGAGAAGAGTCAGTGTCCCATAAATCTTCATTTCAGACAGGAATCAAAGAGGGCACAAAAGGCAATTAAGGCAATTCCCGTTGGCTTGTCCGGACATTCTCGTGTTAACCTTAGTTCTGATACCTTAGATTATGACCCAGAGGGTTGAAAGTGGTAACAAGAAGAGATGGAGATCATGAAGGAAACAAAAGTAAAAATCACTTTAGACAAAATTGAAAGTGGTGCTATGTATACAGGAATGTAGGATCAATCATTTGGTCCCCTTTAAGGATTATGCATTAAAAGCATGGTCCTTGCATTATAGACAAAGAAAAGCAATTGACAAAGTGGAACCAGAGTTGCATCCCAAGATGATCAGTCATCAATACTGAAAAGCCTCTTCACATCATGTTAATTCATGAAAAAAGCAAAGCATTCAATAATTTCAAAGTCACATGAGGTCAAAGTAGTGATAATAGAACTTTTGTTACAACCCCTGGATGGTGCTACAGATTCAAGCTCCTTGGATCTGCCCAATATTCCAAAACAAATGGGCGTCTGGAACATCTAGAAAGATCATCAGGGAATTAACTTCTACAGAGATTTTTGGCATGCCCAAGTGAACATTTAGTCTCAACAAAGAAAGGCGTACACCTGACTTAAAGTTTTGAGGGTCCAAGTGATACTCTTTTTAGGTAGGTTTGCATCCAGAACCTGCAAAGTGTGGTTCTTATTTATAGTCAAATGCATTTATAAACAGCCTTTTGGACCCAATTGTTCATTAGTTCTTACAGGACAATTGGAAACTAATTCATACTATGTTTAAAATTGCACTGAAAGCATCCTATTGAAGGTGATGTATTTGTTGTTTTATTTTACTAAGTACAGTGTTTTACAAGGTTTATCTAAGCCTTGGTCCCTTTTACTCTATTTTTCCACTAAGATCTCATGTTTCTCTATTGGAAACCCCAGGGCTGTTCAGAAACATCACCAGCACAGTTGAGAAGGAGCTATTATTGAATTTTTCTTCTAATTAGTTTAGATCTTTAAAAGATTGATGTAATTTTTTTAAAAAAATTTTAATTATGACTTAAAAAGAATTTATCTTCTCTGCTCAATCAAGGTGATAGAAAATTTTAAGGCATTATTAAATTAAAAATGATTAAATAACTTAAAATTATTTTTTAATTAGAAATGGCTTAAAATTTGGTTCTTGACAAATGTTATAGAAATGAATACCTTACAAATGCATGTGCCCACAAGGATTAATAGTTCTCTTGAATGCTCAATAAGCGTTCCAATTTTTTCCAGTTTAGATTCCTTTCAAATTTGTTTTAAGTTTCAATCAGAACAGATTTGAAAAGGCTGCTTGATTTTAGGTAATCTGTAAATAGGTCCTGGAAAACATTCTGACTTCTAAAATATCGATTTCACATTCAAGGGAATAAAAGTTTTCAGTCACAGGTAAACTCAAAGATACATACCACTTACAGAGTTGCTATTTAAATCATGTAGGTATTAGTCAGTTGACTAAAACAGCTGAAAACTGCTTAGAGCTTTCAGTGGGTTGTTTTACAGACATTTATTGAGCATACTATGATGGAGGGAGACTGCATACCAAGAAGGCAATGGTGAAAGAGACGCAGCCTTTGATTTGGAGGAGTTTCTAGTCTGTGAATGAATATCACTGACCCCAGGACAGAAAAGGTCACCCAACTTTAAGCAGCAGGGACAGAAATCATAAGCTGGTCAAATGTTTTTCTAGTAACTGGGGGAAAAAGCAAAGACAAATTTGGGAAGTAGTAATAATCACTAAAGTAGCAGAATCCTAAGGCTTATGGATTGTTTTGTTTCTGTTTTTATTTTTCCTTATCATCTGAGATGGATGAATTCCCATTAGTAGTAGAGGAAGAGAGAGTAAAATATAGGTGGTTACCACTGTTCCCCTTCTCTGGCTTTTCCTCTGCAGGGTCATAGTCCTGGGGGAAGGGGAAGTCACAACATTAATGATAAAGTTCCAATGTCAGAGATGCCTTTGTATTACTTTATCCTCAAGGACGTGTAACTATGATACATCCTTCTCTGGCAGCCAAACCAAGTGACTTAACATTCTGTTCATTTTTTTTTCCAGTGCGGTACAAGACATTTTGAATTTGTCTCAATGTTTATATTAATAGAGCGCGCACACACACACACCCTTCCTGTGCAGGTATCCTCATCACCTCTCACTCAGCCTGCTCTGAGAGCCTTCCAGCAGGATTTCCCCTCCCCTTCTCTGGATTCTATCCACCTGTCTGATAAACCTCACATTTTCCTCTCTACGCAATAACCCCCAATGGCTTACTATATATGATTTTAAAGAGCGCTACACTATTCCCTTTCAATTAAGCACAACAATAAATGGGCCCATTTAACATTCTCATTTATGACTAATGAGAGGCATGAAAGGAGAGTTATTCCTTGTCAAAGACTTCGTAAACAAATTTGAAATCATAGCCTCATCAAATGAAATGACAGGTTCTGAGGCAGGACCCACCATTCTCAAACTGCACTGGTTTGAACTCAAAATCTTCTACTAAAAAATAAAATAAAAAGAGACCTTAAAGCTCCACATTCAGATGGCCCAGGCAACAGTGGGATAAGCCAGATGCAGCGGAAGACGTATAAACAAATGTGAACAATGTGCACTCTGATCACTGAGACCCTGGGTCAGGAGCACCTGTCTAAAAACTCACT